GGCCTAGTGCCTTATGGTTGCCCATAAATAAGTTGACTTGTAATCGCGGGGTGCGCTTCGTTGTATGAGTGGCCTAAGTTGATATTATGTACCATTAAATTAGAGCTACCCTGAATCCATCTGGTGATGACGATGGGTTGTCCAAGTTGTTGGCAGTACTGCATATACTGAGGGTGCTAAACTCACCGGATCCACTCATCGGCCTGTTGTTGGATGAGCACGGGTCTATGGACCGGTAGTTACCTGATTACTCGGCGCATTCGGCGATATCTGACCGTTAGCCACTATGAGGCCTTCTGTCGTCTCCAATTGTACATCAACAAACTTCGCCTTACCAGTGAAGCAGTTTTGTAATGGACCGCCTCGTTCAATGATTGTCAACATGATCTTCGAGAAACATTCAGGGTTAAAAGCACGAGCCTGGTTTATGTGTACGTCTTCAAACTGCATGCATGTAAAAGGGCAACGGCATAGCCCGTGGCAGCTGGTACTGCACAGCCTAATTAGGTGACGTAAACAATATGAATGAGTGCGGACACACGCACTCTATTTGAACGGTATTTCGGATAGCTCTGACAGAATGGCAAGTAACCAGAAACCGGAGGTTTCGCAAACTGGTTGCATTGTAAACCATGTTACCCAACGCGACCGTCCAAACCTGGATGGGGTACAACAAAGTTCAGAAAACTTTTTGAAAACGGACAGGACATGAAAAGTGCAATATAAAGTCGGCAAGGCATTGGTCGACAAAGATAACCTGTTCACTTAGAATAAACTACCAGGGTGATTGAACGTGGGTAGCAGTCGAAAAGCAAGCAGTCCAACACTACTGGTCCCTTATCCACGGCACGTAACAGCGGTGTTCCTATACAAGAGGCAGTGTGAAATCCGGGCGGCTCAAGAGCTTACAGGACGATTGGAGCTATCAGATTTTATGCAGTTCGCATTCAGTAAGTGGTACGAACAGACGGATGACGGTAGTAAACCATGTACTGAAAACTGGTCGTATAAAAAATGGGTTTAGAAGCATCACGAATCAAGAAGAACGTACAGTCAGCAATAGAACAATGAGTAGGATCAGAGAAAGGGCAATGAGGGAGCGAGGCTTTCTGGAAATAATAACGATTAAGTACTAAGTGATATGAAAGCGTAGAGATACGGACAGATAATATAACTAGGTCGTAGACAGAGATAACTGCGTAGAAGACAGTCAGTACATTTGAAAGGTAAGGTAAATTGTCTGAAAAACGTAAATTGAGATTAATTTGGCACAAAATGAGTGTATCCTCAGGCTTTAGGTGACAGCGTGACGAAGTAGCACGTGCCATGTGTAAAATCGACACGCGTTCTTAGGCTCCTTTGAGACGAAATCCCAACCAACAACATCAGGTAAGATGCAACACAAAGGTAATAAAAAATGGGATGTTCCCGTAAGTCCAGTGGGCGCAGCGGATAGTGCGCTCGTCAGTCATGCGCGGGGTTCAGATTCCAACCTCAGGGCAACCTGCTTTTCTGTCGAAGCAAACACCCGGAAATAGGTACAGTTGACGTGAAATTGCAAGCGAATTCGGACAGGCAAACAAATCTTGACAATATTAACTGGAGAGTAAGGGAGTCTAAGGTTTTCACCTATTTTGAGCTTCAACAGATAGGTTTGATAGACTTCATGAACGTTTTCAGCTTGGCCATAGACCAAAACAATGCACATAGTAACTTTGTATGCATTTGCCACTTGACTTCCAGTTAACATCCCTGGAGGCATGCAAACAAACAGGGTATGCCGGGTGTCGGTTAGAAGGATCCAAGCGTCATGAAAATCAATGGTGAGTAATAAGATGAATGGCCTAAATCTGGGTAAGCCAGTGCATCAAACACAAAGCGGTATAGTGGAACTGAGTGGGACCGTCCAGTGGGGTGAGCGTGGGCAGTGACGGACATTATGCCACCCCACTCGACTGAGGCTTTGAAAAATTTCATGACAGAGGTAGCCGCTGCTCTAGGTTTTACGGTCAAGTGATACCGGAAAACCGAAGACCTTATGTCCAAAGACGAATGATTGCTAGCATGGAGCATTCCAAAAATCCATTGCCATTAGCCCAGATTCGTTTGGTATCTTACACTACAGCCTGGGTTGTTATGGATATGTTCAGCTGTAACACCCTTCCAGTGCCTAGCTGCCATGCTACCCGAAGGAAGCACGAGGGCTTGCATATTATCAGGTTGCCCAAGCCTAGACAGGAGAAATCGAGAGGCAGAGGTCGGGTTCGAACCACGTACCTTCCGGTCAGTAAATTCGCGCTCTAACCACTTGGTTGTGATGACTCAGACCAGACTACTCTTTACTCAAACTAAACCTTAGTCTAATTGAAAAATACCACACTCGGAATATTTATATGGAATTATGTCATTTGGTTACAGCTATTTCCAATCAGATATGAAATTAGGTGTCGTATATCCATACAAGAACTGCCGGCCCCTAGAAATATGGTTATTCCATCGGAAACAAGTAAGACTGCTTCTGTGTTGCGTATCAAGATAGACGTTTCCTCTCACAAACTCCCTATTTCTGATTACTTATTCTCAGCAACAAAGAAATTGCGGTGGGAATTCCCTCGGTTAATAACCCCTAGAGAGTTTCAGAAGAGCTTGGTAGAAAATCGGTAGTTTTTTGGCTCTTCTGAAACAATGACTTCTCAATCGGTTCCAAACTTTTTCCAAGGGACTGAAAACCCCTAGAGAGGTCTTTCTCGCGCCGAAATAGCGTCGGACTAGTTTCATTACACGGACTGTGGTGAGAGCATTGACGAAATTACACTATTTGCAACCAATTAATTTCTCTCCCTGGAGTCGAATTCCGGAAAAATTGCACAAGGTTTTAGCAAACCAGCTGTAAAACACCGCCGTCTCACGCACACTCAATTGTAAGAGTTCATGAATCTCCGGATGTGCAATAAAATTCACCACCCAAAAAATGATCCAAGGCAAGGAGACTAAAACAGGGTGCAGTAGAAGGGAAAACAAACTTTTTGCTGCCGATGGGGTTACAATGCAAGTGGCAAAACGAAATACATAGAGGAGCACACGACCTCAAACTTAGTGTAGCTACATGCTGACATCGCTACACTGTGATTATCTAGGCACGCGCGGAAAAAACTGTCTTTATGTCATGTAAATATGTGGGTAGATCAATAAATAACGTCCTTTAGAGTGGCGTCGACGACAGGTAGAAACAGCTGATCTCCTGTGTCAACGCAATAGAGTTTTATCATCGTTTGCAGGACGCCATGTTTGAGCAGCTAAGACACATCTGCGGAATGTCATAAACTGTGCAAACGCTCCTGATCGCTGCCACTTTCAAACTAATTATTGGAAAACCTTTGAAGCTGCAGCTGATACTGGCTGTAAGTACGTGTGAGGCATGCATTTTTCAGTTAGCTGCGAATAAAACAGTAACCAAGTGCAACCATATAAGAGAGGATAAGGAACTAACAGGATAGAAGAGAATAGTAAGAGGGATAGAAGAGAAAAAAGATACAAAAAGATAATAAAAAATAGCAACTGTAAAAACCTCACCAGCGGAAGGAGAAGTGAAATGGATTATTTCAGAGGAGATGGATGGGGCAATTAAGTTGGGCTTGTGGGGGTTATTCAAATTGTTCAGTTCAGCGGGACGGAGAAACCAGTGACAATCCTCAGCCGACTAGGATGCGTCGTGAAGAAGTCGCACCAAGGGTCTCACATGACAATGACTTTCAGTGCGTGAAATTATCGCTTGACAAATTCATAGACTCTGAGAGCCCTGGATGTGTGGTAAGAATTGGTCACCGGATGGACTGCTGACAGTCATGATCGCTTAATTCTAAGTAGTCTGGACAAAGAATTGTTTTTCTATCAAGTAGGATTCGGCTTAGGATAGAAAGTTTCTATCAAGACTTGGTCTGTTATCAAAGGCTTTGTAAGCATTGCAACTTCTCTTAGTTCGGTAAATCAAGCTTTCCCGCATGGCTACGCCTTCTTAATCCGTGTGTGTCCAGGTATTTGTGATTGTTAGCCACAGGAAGATAGCCAATTGCGGAAGATCGGGTTCTCAGCAGATTTCGCTCTTAAGACTGTTCCACAGATGCTAGGTTTGAGCGAACTAAATGTAAAGGTGAAACAGTGGAAATATTGCCGACAAAGGACAAGAAGCAACAAACAGGTGGCGTGTTAATCATCGGAGCTCTAAATTTTAAGCGTGAAAAATCACCAGGAATGCTTATGTGACCCATCACTTCTTGGAACCAACACCGGATGTTGGTAACCAAAAAAGTACGTGTCCAGATTTTGCATTACAAAGGCTCCTGATGGCGTCCGGTTTCCTCGGTAAAAAATTCTCCTAAGCAAATGAAATGCGACCCATCTATGGAGGAGGAATTCCCAGGGAGGACCCCTTTCCTAGTTCCTTTGAAAGCCGCTTTTGATGTGATCCGGAGGGCAACCAGATCATTGACCTCAACACAAAGGTACCTTCCTCTAGGAACCTTGCTGGAGTCCGCTGAGCTGAAAAAAATTCTCCTAACCAGTGGCAGCGGCGGCATTACTGTTGAGGTTCCCGATACGGAACTTTATGTGACGCGTAGGTTCAACAATCCCGAATATCAAAAGGAAGAATTGGGTTCGTAATTCTACGGTACTATTTACACAAAGGGTAAGCAAATGTGTACAGCAAACCTCAATTGTTCACGTTCGTAGCGTCAACAGGTTCACAGGTCTGTCACTGACCGGCACAGTGCAGTGTCAACGTCCGCACACCAAACAACGGCGAGCGGAATGATGGCTCCGTAGCGTGCGTTGAGGCTGTTCCTTCCAACGACGGTCTCGTTGAACGTGCGGTCACGCGGAGCCCATGAGAAAACAAGTCAAGGCAGGCTCAGCAAACGGGACGTGGACACACATGGGTAAGTAGGTCAGCAGCACACATTCACACACAGGCACATGTCAATACAAAAGTGCCGGACAGGATGGCCTCTGCGGCAAGGTGAGTGGCGGGTACGAATAAGCAAAACAACTGGAGATCCAAGGTACATAGGCGGAGTAAGCAAATGAATGTGGGAATTATCATTAGGTTAAGTTAGTTACATTCAACAGTTACATTGCACCGATATAGAGGCCATGAACAGCTCAGTCTCCTAGAGCAATACACGGCGCTTTGAATTCGAACAGGACGACGAGTTGTCATGAGGGGAGCGGAGCAGATATAACTCTATGACTATCCACTCAGTAAGGCGTCTTTAAAGACTAGAAATTGTGTGACTACGTTAGTCGTCGTCAGGATTGCGAGTTTGTATAAAAGCGATTTGCTCGTATCCACTCTTTTTGGGTGAAATTTACGCCAGTGGGATCTTGATACATAAGAGAATTGGGGCGGTCAGTCTTTCTATCTGATCGAGGGCAAAGGATTTGTGCTGCCGCAGCAGATGAAAGAACACTATTTGTGTGGTCCTGATGAGTTTAGTTTACCCACCTTAAATAAGCTAGCACGCATCCTGGAAACCGCTTTTCTGTTTAGGCTGGCCTTTTAAGATATTGCTGTCGAAAGGTGAAAGACAATTATCTCCAAGTTTTTCTTTCACACAGAGGGAAACATATGTGATCCAATCACCCACATGCCAGTAAGCATTAGATCAGCAGTGGGCAAAAGCGTAGCGAACCGTTCAGTGATCAATACCGTCACTTTTACAGACAAATGATGCAACAGAGATCCACTCTACTACAATGCGAATTTCAAAACCACCCAGTACATACTCTGGACGGCTGTCAAAACAACCAGTGTTGTCCTGGTTAATTTCAGGTCACGCATGGAACGCTTCTTCGTAATCCAAATCGACATGCGCTCCAGCTGTCGGTGATCCCCTGACTACAAGTTCTCGGAACTTTATAGCCCGGGTAACTGGTACCCTGTTGGGGTAATTCGAAGTCATACGTGAGTTAACTAAAGGCCGGACCCTGGAGTAGGAATGTCCATCCGAGTCACATCCCCTCCTCGTCTAGACGTAACGCACTACTCATAAGTTTGCTGGGTCGTATATTACGTCTAAATAATGTACTGCGATATCTCGAGTATTGTACTAACTGAAACAAGACGAGAGATTCAGATGGATTCATTTGGTTTTCTAGTTAAAGCCGAATCAGTATGCGAATGAGAATATGTGGAGCATCTACTACTTTCTCGTTGTTTGTAGAAAACGGCACTGTCTCTGTTCCCATGGCTACTCATCACAAAGACGTGAGAGTTTAGATTAAGTCGGATCTTGTCTCCCGCTCTCATGGTGGTCGTCCATTAATCCAAAATGACAGTCAAACTGGTAACCATCTTCTGTAGAACTTCTGCAAACTTAGCTCAGCCCAACTGTATCGAAAGTATACTGAGATGTAACATTCCTTTGAAGAATATCATAAACGAGATTCACTTTAATTCCCCGTTAGAACAAAATTGTTATGCAAATGAGTGTAATTGTCAAAGTCATTATCCTGTTTATCTGACTTCCACAAAATGGTGGCCAGATGTGAAGCGCGAGTCTCAACAACGACGCAACACAAGTGACACAACAAACGGAGGTACCTCCCAGCGGACACACACACCCAGTCGCGCTTACATTCACGCAAAGCCTGTACGCAGACATACGGACGTTGGTCGCATCCAATCTCAGGAACACACCAATTAGGAGACACGACGTCTCGTCCAGGTAACGCAGTATTCAGTCTGTATGCAACTGATTTTAAAAATTTTGAAAGTTCGCCCAGGACAACCGAAGCGTTAGACTCTAAAATCCGCTTCAACTACGCCGTATTTTTACCTTAAATCTTATCTTATACATACCACAAAACGCGTAAGTTATTTACTGAGGTTCAAGCAGGATTTGGTGCAAAACACCTTAATCAATAATCGTTGGAAATGGAGTGAATTGAAATGGAGAAACGTTATGTTTTTGTAATGCACTACTCATAAGGTTGGTGAAAACTCCTCGACAGCCCACGACCCGTTTAGTCCTTCTTGGGGCTCATCAGGTAGACGCAGCTCCGAGTTTCTATCAACTTTGCGTTCTACTTGAAACCAAATTGCACGAACTTAGCGAAATGCACTCATTTGCAAACTAATTTAGTTTTTTCGAGAGACTCACCTGGAACCCAGCTGATTCTCTCGGTCTTGATGTTTCCAGGCAACTGAATGTGCTGCACCAGGCCGCCTCATGTTCCAGTCGCTACGATATTCGAGATATCGCAATACATACATATTTTTGTAATGATTGTTTGCAACCGTATGAGTAATGCAGTAGAAAAATATAAATGTATTGCGATATCTCGAATATCGTAGCGACTGGAACATGAGGCGGCCTGGTGCAGCACATTCAGTTGCCTGGAAACATCAAGACCGAGAGAATCAGCTGGGTTCCAGGTGAGTCTCTCGAAAAAACTAAATTAGTTTGCAAATGAGTGCATTTCGCTAAGTTCGTGCAATTTGGTTTCAAGTAGAACGCAAAGTTGATAGAAACTCGGAGCTGCGTCTACCTGATGAGCCCCAAGAAGGACTAAACGGGTCGTGGGCTGTCGAGGAGTTTTCACCAACCTTATGAGTAGTGCATTACAAAAACATAACGTTTCTCCATTTCAATTCACTCCATTTCCAACGATTATTGATTAAGGTGTTTTGCACCAAATCCTGCTTGAACCTCAGTAAATAACTTACGCGTTTTGTGGTATGTATAAGATAAGATTTAAGGTAAAAATACGGCGTAGTTGAAGCGGATTTTAGAGTCTAACGCTTCGGTTGTCCTGGGCGAACTTTCAAAATTTTTAAAATCAGTTGCATACAGACTGAATACTGCAGGTAATTTCCTTTGATTCCCATATTCACGCTTCAGCCTGAAAGTTTCTGAAAATCATGTGACCACATCTGAGGAGATGACTCACATAAGAAAATATACGCACTATTCGTCCTACACAAAAAATAGGGGTGGAACTCATCAATCGTTTAAGGGAAGAAAAATGTAACATTTCAAGCGCGTAATGATTCCAGAAAAAATTATACAAAAGAGGTCCAAAGAAAGCACTGAAGCCCATCTGCAAACATTACTACACGGCAATGAATTATTAACTTTATGAGCGACGCCATTCTGTCATCACACTTTCTGAGTTTTCCAGTTTCGAAACTCTCTTCTAGGATACAACCAACGGACCACTCGCCTCATTCTGTCGGCTTGGAGAAAACGTATGAGACCAATTTATTAGTATTAAGAAACTGTCCAGTTTGATACTGAAAACTTACAACCATTTCTGTAAAACCCGTGTTTAAATGGAGATTCCTTGAGGCTCGTGGTTATCAGTGATCTTTCGAACGGCGTGCTGCTTGATTTGCCTACTCCTCGTTTCTCTTTGTCATCGCGAAATCTCTTATGGAGAACCGTTGACTCGCCTTTATAAGTGAACTGAGTGGCTGTTTTCTGTTTATCGACTTTGAGTATTTTTGTATCTCCACGTGTTTGTGAGTGAAATCACATTCGAGGTTTGTCCCCATTTTTATTCACCTTGTTAGGTTTGGTATGGTATCTTTCTTCATCTTTCATCATCATCATCATCATCATCATCATCATCACCATCATCCTCTTCTTCTTGTTCTTGTTCTTGTTCTTTCTTCATCAGTTGTCTTCTTGGCGATTGTATTCATTCAAATACGTGTTAACGTTCTGCACGAGTAGGACCTATAATTTCATAACTCATAACTTGTCGGGTGCGCGGCCAAGACATGGCCAAAGACTTTAATGGTCTTTTTGTCTTTCGTCATTGGAAAAAGTCGCTTGGGGAACTTGATCGCCATTTGGCTGTGAGAAACTTTAGCAAAAACTGTCCGGTTGATCAAACTGTCCCAAACTTAAAAGAGTTAATTCAGAGGAAACCGGTCGTCGGCCGTCGAAGAGTTTTCAGCGACCTTGTGAGTAGTTTCCTTCATTAGAAGATACTTATTTGAGGCCAGTCAAGTTGATTATATTGATCATGTTCTTGTGTGTGAGAGCGTGTGTGTGTGTGTCTAGGAACAGTAGACGTAGCATCCTAGCACTATCAGGTTGTCCGTGCTTGACCTTAGCGACTATGTACTGTTCACGTTGTGTTTTGTTTGGATCATAACAACCTCTCAGCCGGTAGTCTTCTTTTCCCTCCGAAAATACCCGACAGCTTAATAGCATTTAGGACGAATTTTCAATGCTTGTAACATAACCTCAAATCTGAATTCATAGTTCCTGAAGTCAGTCCCACAATCTATTTAATGTATTCCTCTCTAACCTTCTAATCGCTCCCTTGTTATCAAACTGATGGCATTCCACCTGCTTCTGTTTGGTTTGGTTGCACGCAAACAAGGCTCAACCATTCCCAGTACAAGGCTATTTTTTTTCTTCCAATGGCCTCGCGAAATCACTTTGTTTCTTGTTCACTTTCTGATGACAGGATTGATTCTTTCAGTAATGTAGCAACAGGGCTTTCATTGATACCCAAAGTAATTTTCGGTTAACAAAGCTTCAGAAGGTCGGTTAACACAACTCAGAGAGTTTCGAGCACGCAAACACCCAACTTACAGTTTGAACACAACCACTCGGCAGTGATTAGATCGCACTTAGGCGAGATGTAGCGCCAGTTATGCTTCAGTTGCGGAAACCGCATCACGTGGTTGCGAATTAAATGGATTTAGAAGCCAGTTGATACGTGGTCACACGACTGTGACCTCTCAGCTACGGGCGGTTGGACTAAAGCTGTTTGCCCATCTGTGAATGATATCGTCTAATCCGCTGAACCGGATGTGTGTCTGGTCCCTGTAATTTGAGCTGACGCTACCACTCATCAGCAAATGATACAGAGGTGTAAACTTTGGTGAGATTTTTCATCTCAATATACAGAAAATTTTAATTACATGATATCTGAACTCATTTTAACTGTAGATCTTCTCTGCATACAAACAAACTGGCAAGTATTGCATGGTCTCCGAATAAGCCTGGGATAGGTATCGAAATTGTAGTACAAATACGCTGTTGCAACTAACTAAAACCACATCTAAAACACCGCGATGTTTTGTAAGCTTATGGTGTCCTAATTTATGCCCCCTTTCATTATGACCTTGCCTAATTCTTCTTCATTATCGTAATTATTATACAAACAATCGCAAGATCCAAGCACAACGCCCCAGAGGATAATGTTGGAGCTGACGATGAAATGATAGAATTCCACCACAGCTTTGAACTTCATCTCTAGAAGCCACTAGTAAAACATAACTTCAGTTCTCGTGAAATCAAGTCCAAAAGTGGTTTTTTTTCAGAAAAGAAACAACTGAGTAAGTGGATTTTTTCATGAAGGAAACTATTCGCAAGGTTGCAGAAAACTCTTCAACAGCCTACGACCGGTTTCACCCTTCTTGTGGCTTATCAGGTAGGCGCAGCCCCGAGTTTCCGTCAACCTTATGTTCCACTTGAACCCAAATTGGACTAATTTCGAGAAATACACACATTTGCAAGCCGTGAAAACCAAACTGATTCGCAAATGAGTGCATTTATCGAAGTAGATTTTTTATTTTCCCTCATATAGCAGTGTGATAGAAGACACCACACGAGTGGGAGTTCCATTAAAATGTTGCTAACAAAAACAATGTTTCCCGCAGACGGCTTTCGTTATTCAATAGCTTTATTGAAAACCACGGTATGAGTGAACGCAAGTAACTGGTTGTTCAGACAATCAGAGAACCACTGCACCAACCATAGTGCCCATTCTTCGACAGCCCCACGACCGATTTCACCCTCTTTAGAGTTCATCAAGTTGTGGACTCTCCAGGGGTTTTCAACAACCTAATGAGTTGTGTGTACCGCAAAGAATAAGAATCGGTCGAAGAATATAACAAACAAGAATTTCAGATGGAATTTAAATCAACCTCCCCCGTTGAAGCAGATTAGTTTGCAAATGAGTGTACTCAGCGAGCTGTGCCCAATTCAAATTTATGTAGAACACAAAGTTGACGGGCACCCAAAGACTATCCCTACCTGGTGAGCGTCAAAAACGGTGAAACCGGTCGTAAGCCGTTGAATATACTTCAACCTTATGTGTAGTGTTCTGTCAAGATAACAGTTCCTCGCGTCTTGGTAGACCGCTCCCACTGAGTCTGCCACCGATCTTAAAAGGCTAGGTTGATTAATGATAAGCTACTCACGATGTTTCAGTAGTTGAACCCATTGCAACAAATTGAGTCAGCCACTATGGATAGAAATTTTGGCTCTTCTAGGTTTTGCAAATTTCCAGGCTCATATTGGCGTTTATCAACAAAATGGGCTATCCCACCGACTCACTGAGAATTAATTTGTTCGTTGATGAAATTTTCCAGATGTTACTGACTAAATTTCGCATCTTCTGTCGACGTTGCCTAGCTGCGAACATCTGTCGCCCCCAACCTGCCGAGAAACAACTGGACGCTAAATTTTTCTCGGGCGTTGTTGGTGAGACTGATTTAGATGCACCATGGTGTTTTTGGCACGAGATCAAGGAATTCGATGCGTACATTTACCGTAGAATAATCTGTTCAAACCGCTCTGCTGATGCTCTGATCTTATCGTTTTGGGTTTCCGAACAATAGATGTCGAGTTTTGTAGCTTGACAACACAGAACAACAAGTAAAACCGCCAGGACTACGCGAAGTAAAAACATATCAGGGGAATAAGCAAATGAGAGAAAAATTAAAACGCATCAGCATGGTGCATTCTGCCCTACAGTTTCCCAGTACCGCCCATAAAGTCTAGCCTTTATAACCGTGGTGTATAGGTGTACCGTATGTATGCTTCAGAGTCGAAGAACTTCATCATCAGTTCTCAGAGTGTCTTTGGTTCAGAAAACCGATTTTCCCAAGCCTATATCATTAGTTTTTATATAAGCTTTGTAGGTTTACAATATACTATGCGTACTTTACCATAGACAGTTAAATTTCACACATATTCTTGCATATTAGGACAAGATACTACATCACTTTATTTCACGCTTTTCCATGTTGGAGTAATTTGAGTATAACACTTCGTAAGTTTGGTGACTAAACTTTCTCACATTTTAACAAATTACTGTTAACAAAAACATCGAGCCACCAATTTGGACCAGAAATAAACTTCACAAAATCCTCAACATGGTTTTGAGGAAATTATTTTCGTTTTATCTATCTCAGAGGGACTTGTACCTGAAAAGATGCAATCTGCGACCGTCTACAAATCCCAAACTGTTGGATTAGTTTGCCGGTGATTACTTTGCTTCACGCCCGTGCAAACCTATGCATCCACTCAGGGCACACACAACACTAAATGGAGAACCGTCGATGCTGTTCTGTCCTCGGCGTGTGAATGCATGACAGACTAGTGCGAAACAGGAATCGAATCTTCCCATGGGTCAGGCCGTGCATCGGTGCTGTCGAATCAGCTGATCCAAAGTACACCGCAAATCGGCCCCTACTAGGGGGTTGACGCAGATGAACCAACAGAGCTGATCTAGTAGCAATTGTAGATTAATGAAGATGATCCAAGCCAGTTAGCCGGACGGTCAGTAGCTCTCGGTGGGCTGTACTCAAAGCGAGGACACAAGACCGGACTGCCCAATGTAGACGTGACACCAGAAGGAATGGACGATCATAGCTCTCGGTGGGCCGTACTCAAAGCGAGGACACAAGACCGGACTGCCCAATGTAGACGTGACACCAGAAGGAAAGTTACTTTCATTCAAAAAATGTGTGTATTCCTGCGGATATGAGTCACACATCTCATTCGATTGTATTCTCATGGTAAACCGTTCATCAGACCATAGCACATTTCAATAATAAATTTCGGGGTTCTTGAGGAATGGGACATACAATATACGTCTCAGTAGAAACGTTAGCCAGTTTCAGAATACCTTGAGTGCTGTCTGCCAGCTCCAAAGTGTGAGATGCAGTTGTCGTAAAAGTAGTCAAGACCGAATTCGACGAATGGCTGGTCCCTTTCTTTGGTTAATGAGGAGATTTCTGCGTCTTAATTTATCACCTTACATGAAATATGAGATAATTAAGTGGGTAAAGTTATCAGCGTTTGTCGCTCTACCTTACTGGCTATACTGAAGAATCTGTAGCACCATCAGACTCAGAACATGTACCCGACAACCGAAGGGATATTTTCATCAGCTGACTTCACCCTATCCCACTCAACCATGCGAAGAGGATTTACAGTTCTGCACTTCTGATTTTTGCTCCAGTGTGAACAGACACTCCCCAGTTTGATTGGAAGGATAAAGTCACGACGAAACACACCAGGACAGGTTGCTACACATTGGCCTGTTTCATACTCTGGACAAAACCTGTATTGTCGGAGTGAGGTTACCAGTGGTCATACAGACTCACATCTGCTAGTATGCTAACATTTCTCAATCATCCCAGCTCAGTGGATAGGACTGAACATCGACGGAAACTAGGGCGTGATATGGTTAACAAGCATCGCTTTTTCTCCCCAAAACTGGCTATCTACATAATTTGGATAGGTAAAATCTAGTTTGAATTGTTCTCAGCTGTTCGAAGCAAAGTTTTCTACATCCTCAACTAAATTTACATAGTTGACAAAAGGGTACATTCTCCTCCACGAATCAAGGTGACTACCATACGGGGCAACAGATGCTAACAACTTCTGGTCACACGTCAGACTTGCTCCTTAGTAAAGTGTAATACCAAAATGATAGATAGATAAGTTCCAACAGAGGTAGAAAGTTCATGTGCGGCAGTTTATCTGGGCATCATCAACTCATAACTTACTGTTCTGCAGGCTGAATGAAACTGGACCAAAATGACGCCTGCCGGAAGTAAGCCCGAATACAGTGACTTCACTTGAAGATGCTTTCCCGAACAAAATGCAAAAAGCTCCCAATAACATAAGAATTTGATTTATTTCTGCCATCTGGGGCTACGGTGGCTAACCGAACAGTCTGGTTCAGGGGGATTTCGCTTTGCCCTCCAAATTCTGGCTTAGGGTAAACTCCGCTCACATCGAAACAGCGTCGGTCATGTGCCTGAAACGGGAAACCATGTTCACTATATAAGTTCAACACCCATCTGAAGGTTAACATGGTAAATCCTGTTTAGTGTTTTTACAAACTGGTCAGAACTGGTGAGACAGCAAATATTAGTCACTACTAAAGATGTATCCATTAATAGACGTAATACACTACTCCAGGGGTTGCTTAAGACCCTTCGACAGCCAACGACCGGTTTCGCCCTTCTTTTGGCTCATCGGGTAGGCACAGTCTCCGAGTTTCCGTCAAACTTAACTCAGATTGCACGAACTTAGCGAAATACACTCATTTGCGAACCAATGCGGTTTTGTTGGATACTCACCTAGAACCCAGCTGAATCTCATGTTTCTCATGTTTTCAATGAAGCCCAACGTACCAACAACAAATGTAATGCAAGAATTTATTGTGTATGGAATGCGCACAGAAAACCGATGCGTGAAAATGCTACGCAAATTAGGGTACAGTAAAAAGGCACGGGTGATGATAGTTGTCACAACAAAATCGATTGACTAATGCTCTGGATGACTGGAATTCCTGGTCAATACACAGGTTTTCAACTCAATTAACCTAATTGGTAAATATATTCATTTCATATTGGCTGGTAAGTACATCACTACTGAAAGGGACTCAACATAAACCAAGGTTACCTTGGAATGTACATGATTTCCATGGTTATCGATTTTATCATCGACTAACCACTCTGTACCACATGATTTCAGCCTCGTTACCGAAATGACAAGACAAAAAGTGGGTGCTCAGTATGTGCACAATGGAATTGAATTTTCGGAAGCTACGACGTGTCGGTGATAGACTAAAGCAGACAGGCAACTGAGTTCAGAGTACCAGTCCAAACCTTTGAGACCCATCTGGAGATCCCAGGGTCTCAGCGATGCTGAAAAGTATTCCACCAGACTTCTTCCGCCAGAGGCATGATGGCTTCAGTGGACAATGAAATTTGGTGAGCTGCGAAAATATGACCGTGAATTAGGGTGGTGTTTAGTTTGAGCACCCGCGTAACAAAATGCAACATTTTGGCGCACAAACTGTTATCACATCCCCAATGGTTTTGTAGCTAAGAGCATTGTGCGGCTAATGGGTCCCCAAAAAGTGTTTTCAACTCATTTGTAATTGGGTACTAACGAACCAGTATGAAATGAATGCACCTACGAATTTCAGCCTCCTTGTTGCGTTGTTCGAATTAGTGTGCGTTCACATTTGCAGGCCTGTAGAGATATTAGTCATCTGTAAGATATTCCTTTAAAAATGATTCTTCAGAATCCGTAAGTGACGGTTTTTTATCGACCATTTCCTAATTGGTTAAATTTACTTGTCGGTGAGACATTTCCGCGCTCCAACTGCATAAGTCTTTGCTTCTTCCTCAATTGGATGACAAGATATGTTTTACTCATCGATGCGAATTTGGTTGGAAACAATTCCTACTTAATCCATCCTACAATTGGTTCCCTCACTCGAAACTTCAAAGATCACCACACAACAACCATATATAGTTTGTTCCTTTATTTGCTAACTCATACCAGTCTAAATTTTCTTTTATTGAGAGTCAGTTCCAGCTCATCTTTCCTGATCATCTTTTCTTTCAGCTCATCATCAACTGATGCATCTTTCTTCATTGAAATGATGAATCTGATACCCTTTCGCTCAACTCAACATTTCGAAACCTTGTGTCTCGCATGGTACCTTTCATACATTATTTCGAAACTGTGCCACTGCATTTGCACCAAACATTCCAAAAGTTGTTCGTTTATTTTTTCTTTTGGTGCTTTCCTTCACCGCGGAGAAGTTGTTCCCCCCGTATTCTAAAGTACATCTGCCAGTTTCAAATGCATCGATTAAGAACCATAAAATGAGAATTGTCACTTTTGTGTAACAAAAGTTATGGAATCAGTTTGGATCTACATGGGATGCACCACTAATCCCCACTTTACTTTATTCACTGCATTTGGTCCGACACCTTTCAAAACCCTATCTTGATGAAAGCACATCAAAGTCCTGACGCTTTCCTGTAGAAAAAGATTGTTTCTTTATTTTTGATGGTAAAAGCTTCAAAAAGTGAGAAACTCAGCCCTATTGGGCTGAGTCCCCCCAATAAAGTTAAATTAACTAACAAACGAAATCATTTCGTGGGGCTGGTTTTCTAGACATATCAGAACTTTATTGAGTTAAAATAAGTGAAAAAAATTGCCCCAAATTGGAGCACTGATGTCACATTTGGGTGAAATTTCTGCTTAGTTATCCCTTCTTGAGCAAACATATTGTGAAATTTTACGCCCAATCGATCCCCTTTCCTGGCCGTTTGCTTGTACACACTTTTTCGCCTTGTGAAGCAACTATCACCAACAACTTCATCAGATCTGGTCCCTTCTGTGCTCATCTAACCAGCTTTATCAACTTTCTACCATCCCTAGCGACATAGCGCACCTTTGTATTTCTTTCACAGCCTATTTTTGGAAATTTTCGCTACTCTGCTTACTTTTGTTCATGTAAAGTCTAACTCTTCACAAACCTACAAAACGTTCACTCCCAGTGCATCTAGATGATAACCCTCCATTAAACCCGTCACTTGTGTCTGCCGCTTTACGAGGATTTTCCCCCCTTGTTACTCATCCTACCCTACTCTGTAATAATGGTACAAACGGTACAGATTGACGGCTTGGGCGTGGGCAAAACATACAACTAAGATTAGGTAGGTGGCTGGTGCTTTATATAAATCATGGGAGATTAAGTTCACTAGTGGTCTAGTTTCACTAAGCTGTTGGCACAAATACATGGCTAATAGTTCAATTCCCGGAACAAATGGGAATAAGCCTATGACAGACAAACGATATGTGTACTGCACTCTTAGTTTTTTGGTCAGGTCGAAGGAGCACCTAGCTCCAGGACTTACTGCTCATCCCGACCAATCAGTTCACATGAGTAATGTCAGTGCAATATGAGAAAGAAATGGGTCGAAAAATAAGAGGAAAAGTTAACCTACTCCGTTTGGCTAACTGCGCAAGGAGATGTGAAGAACATTGCGAAAGCTCCAAAAGTACCGAATCTTCCAGGGCTGTCTTGTACGTAGACGAAATCAAGTCAAGGTAGTTCGACAGGCGATTTTCACTCAACCATCTTGTTCAATACTGAGGATTAAAATTGACCTTTAAGCCGCCACGCCCAAACAATGAAAAGAAAGGTACACCAAACTGAATAG